TCTGTATTGAACAATTTGCCATCCCAGAACAGGTTGTTTTCAATCTCTTGTTATACCATTATGCCGGCATTATTTTGAGCATAATAGTGGGAGCAAAGAATTCAACATTATGCCGGAAAAATAGTGACAAAAGCAGGCTGATGGTTGGGGGCCTTGGGTAGGCCAAGAGAAATCTGGGCACCAGTCACATGACTACTGTACACACAGCACAAGCCAACAGGTTTTGCTAATTCAGTCTAATTCAATCCTATTCTGCTGCATTTGAGCGAGTTTTTCATTACTATACTGAGAAAACGCATTTCACAATAGCCAAGCTAGAGCAATGGTGGATTACATTGCCGGAGTCGTTCCTCACGCGTAAATATGATAAGCGTTCAGTGTAAATATTATAATTTTTTGTGAGCATAATGGCGCCTAGTAGTCGCTCCTTTGAAGAATAATAGTGAGATACTTTGAGCATCGAGCATTACTATTTAGCATCATAGTGAAAAATCTGAACAAAATGTGTAAAACCCTAATTACTACCGCGTAGATTTTCAAATCTTTCTCGTACAATATTACCAATAAAATTCGGCCACCACTTACAAAACTACATTTGCATCAAGCAGCATTCCTGCTAAGACTGACATTAAGAAATCTTAAAGCACAAAACAAGTTCATGAACTTTACTCAGCTATTGTTGATGTACAATTATATAACAATTTTGCACTGATAAATATATTATGAACAACTACTTCATTTTATAGCGCTAACGCGCCTTTAAAGCCAACTTTGCATTCAGCGTTCAAAGTGTTTAACAAATAAATATCGATTTTGTACTTCTCTTTTAGAGTTAAAGAGTCGTTAAAGACGAACGTTTGACAAGTTTTCAAAATGTGAGATTAACACACTCAATTAATTAGAATAAAAACGTCAAAGTTGTTTGTAACAAAAAGGACATATCAGTCTTGGGTACTTTGACACTGTAAAGACCTTGAAGAGAAGGTCAGTTTGGAACCACAAGAAATCCTACTCATAGAGCAAATAAGCCCAGAAGTAGAAGACCACCGGTGGAATACGAAAGACAAATCAAACGTGCAACAAGCTCTAAGTTACGGGTGTCTGGAAAACCCGAATAGCGCATAGCGAATAGTCGCGAATAACGCATAGCGAATAGTCCCGAATAGTGCGAATAGTGCGAATAATCTCGGATAGTGCGAATAGTGGCGAACAGTCGCGAAAAGTGGCGAACAGCGACGAATAGTCGTCAATAGTCACCGCTTTAGATCTAATATCCTGCGTTAATTGATTATCCAAATAAGCAACAGAATTTCAGTGAATTTATTACCTTTTCTTCTCCGAACTCAGGCTAGGGCTGTCCATTGCCGACATTAAGAAAACAGAAAACACAAGGATAGCCTAATAAAGACTTATTTACGCTTTTGCAGCGGTTAAAACGGAAGAAATTACGTTTAGCAAAACCCTTTGTCCTGATAAGCGTCTGCGCTTTTTAGCGGGAAAATCCCACCTTACGTTGCTGCGAGGTTGACTGCGAGATACTGGGTACCCTATTTGCTACTATTTGCCACTAA